AGCTGTTCTCAATCACCAAATAGGAGAGGTAATTCTGAGCGTGATGAGCTCATTTGACAAGCCTCTTCTTCTTGACTGAGCACACTACTACACAGGAGACAGAGGCTGTGCCATCATTCAAGTTTGTAGTTCAGCTCCATCAAGGAGAGGGTGATCACACTATCTAGAGCTTTGTGTCTGTACACTAGGTAGAGACCCTGGGGAAGTTAAACTGGTAAGATCAAAAGGCATGTAGGATAGAAAATAAAGGTGGACATAAATTAAAGTATATCTAAACCCAAAAGTAAAAATGCAATATATTGCAGCTTCCAAGTCCTCAGAGGTGATGATTGAAATTGATAATACGAAATCACCTGCACTCCATACAGCGTACAGACCTTTGATGAAAGGTTGGTGACAACACGGATGGCGCCGTGTCAGATACTGTCCATAATAGAAGTCACCAGCACTCGATGATGTGTGCAAGAAGTATAGCACTTTTTATTGAATTGTCATATGTGTCATACAGCCAATGTTTTGTGGCCATGTAGGGTCCCTTCTTCTGGACAACATAGTGACCTATGTCATCTTCACTATGTCGCCCAGTGACTATGTCGTCACAATGTCACTCAGAGCAAGGGACCGTGCATGGCCATCAAACGTTGGCTGTATGATGCATGTAACAATTCAATAAAAAGTGCTTTACTGCTTGCACACACGCAGGGCTGGGAAAAACACTTGAGAGCACCTGTATCTAATAAACAGTCCATGTGATTACATTAAAAAAATAAACACAGAGGGAAAGAGGAGAGTACACACTTCAAAACTATTCGTAAAAATCATCAAACTCAAATATTGAATAATAATATGGAAAACGGAGGGATCAGAAGGGGGTTATGGATGCATGTTACCTCTATGCATTCCTCCAAGGTTGGAAAATACAGAGGCTGGAGGGAGAGAAAAAAATGCATATTTTCTCCATCCATGCTTCCATGATAGTGGAAAAAATAAAATGGAAAAAACACTAGACTACTGAAGAAGGAATGCTTCCCAATCCTATCTCGGAGGCATTGTATTTTGGACATACCGATTTGAAACATACATGCATTAGGCTAGGGCATCCATCAACGTCTTGTAAAATGCATTTGATGAATATTAAAAGCAAATATTTCTTCTGGTGCCATAGAGCAGATCTATTTACTTGTAGTATACAATATAAAGTAAAGGAACCCATATGACAGTAAAATATCAACAGCAGGGTACTGAAAACAATACATTATCTAAGATGTAAACTAATGTCACACCGATGGTTGAGACCCTATGGGATCCGAGTGTTCAACTTGAAGATTCACAGGGCCTCACATTGTAGCAGTTTCCTGTAGACATCCCCTCCTCTAGGACACTCTTTTCACTCCATAAAAAGAAAAAGAATGCATGTCTCCTCTATGCATGTCTCTAAAATGATGAGACACATTTGAAACCACATTTGAAAGCAAGTGAGTTGCCGGAGTTTTGGCTCAGCCGATCCAGGTGTTGGATCGGCTGAGTCGAACTCCTTCTGCACTTTGGCTCAGCAGAGCATATTCAGCCGATGTACGGCTGATTTTAACCGATATACGGCTGCAATCAGCTGTACTGAGCTGAAGTGAATAGCCAAATGCTGTTCGGCTCTGTATACTTCGGCTTGGTCATTCATTCAGCTGCCTTCGGCTGCTTTGTAAAAAAGCCCTCTATGTGTTATAAATTACAAGGGATGATGGTACCCCCATACGGGCAAATAACCTTCTTAGACATAAAAGTGTTTTTTATTATTTAATTCTTTATCAGGGTTTTTGCCTACCTCTAGGTCAACTTGGGGTAAAGGGTTCTGTATATGCAATTATTTTATTTATATATTCATTTTTTGTTGTTGATTAAACTTGATGGACTTTTGTATTTTTTCAACCTGATTTTCCATGTAGTATCTTGGGGCCTGCTTGGTTCATGGAGTGCTGACCCGCGGCCTGGTATACTCTCTCAATAATGATCTTTGTAGTTGGCTGGGAATGTCTTGTACTGTTTCTTTACGGTGCAGGGGCCGTAGTGGCTTTGGGGAGACCATGTATTCACAGATGGTTCCCTTTGCAGTGGTTTTCCAAGTCCTCAACTTAAGCTGCATCTAATTGAGGCAGGCAGCCTTCTCCACTGTCTGTATGCTGACATTTATGATGGCATGTGACTTGGAGACCCACCTGTACCTCTACTCAGGGGCTGACTGGCAACTTTTAGCCCAGGGGGCAAGTACAACCCAGAGGCCCATGGTATTATTGTCAAATATATTGCATTTTAAATAAAATAATAATATTAATTCCACCACTGAAACATCATATTGTAGGAGATGGAAGATTGGCATGTGACTTGGAGACCCACCTGTACCTCTACTCAGGGGCTGACTGGCAACTTTTAGCCCAGGGGGCAAGTACAACCCAGAGGCCCATGGTATTATTGTCAAATATATTGCATTTTAAATAAAATAATAATATTAATTCCACCACTGAAACATCATATTGTAGGAGATGGAAGAATTGCAGTAATATAATTCTTTGTGTGTTATTGTTGAAAAAAATATATAATTTTTATATATCTTTGAAATAAAAATAAAAATCACCAGATTTACAACGATGCATTTTATGGAAAGTTCAGCTGGGAAAACAGCTGAAAGTAGAGGCAGAATGAAGAATCATATTTAGGACAATGAGAAATGTATGAGACTGAAGTGTATAAAAGGAGAGAGGAGAGGAGAGACGATGACAGTGTCACTAACTTACTGTGGGGATGTCACTGATCAATGCTCAGTATCATATCACAGAATTCGCTACACAATCCTTGATATCCCAATGACAGAGATTGTTTGATTTTCTCTGTATATGAAGATCAAAACTCTATCTCCATTTATTGCCTATAAAGGCCAGCTCTTCTGGTTTGTCCCGTGGATGACATTTTATGTATACAGCACTCTGAGTTCAGCACCGATCTTTGATTTCCAGCTTGGGATCAGAGAAGAAGATATACAATTTTATCAAGATGGTGACCTTATCATTGGAGGAATATTCACCATACATACATCTGCTACAGATCATACAGAAAACAATACCCAGATATTTTACTGTACAGAGTAAGTAGAATTTTACATCATCATTTCACGTTTCTTTGTTCTTCTTTGAATTGCTTATTTGGTCAAATGCAATTGATGAAATGTTCAGGAAATATGTCACAGCCAATGATTAGAAAATTAAAAGGGTCAGATGAAGATGAAAATATAGGAGTTGCCTGTGACTCAGACAGTCAGGCAGATGTACAGTTTTTTTCCCAGGTCTGGCAGGTTAATGAAGAGCTGAAGCTGTGAGTATCAACATGGTGGCCAGGGAACAAATATTTGCAGAAGGAGAGTTGTAAGTTTCAGCAGTGTGATATTGATCTTTGCAAGACGGCAGGCTACTCAGACTTTATTGGCTGCTTATCAGTTCCAGGTCAGTGGCCATCTATGTACAGAAGCCAGGATCAGGATGACAAAAGCAAGTTGGTAATAACAGCTTCCAAATTGTCTCTGCTTTTTTTTATTCCAATTTTAAAAATCTGTCCTCAAGACCAGCATTGTTGTCATGGTACAGTTCAGTAATTACTGTATATCACAATTATTACCAGGTTTGCACTCATATTAAAATATAATATGAAACCAGTGTGAGTGCAGATATTCTGAATATCCACAGACACAGGACAGCTTCTAAAGCTTCCAACTCACTGCAGACAAATCCACTGATTTCCATCTCCTGTGCATTGCTGACCAGTAGCAGTATGCATGGGACAAATGGATACAATCAGGGTCGGTCTGGGTCTAAGGAGTCTTGCTGATGAAAAAACATTAACAGTCCTAGGACTATTAAAGTTTTTCATCAGCAAGACTCCTTGGAAGTATGCTTTACCTCTAGTGCAACTCCTCCACACAGCCCTTGTGTGTCAAATGCTCTCCAAGCCTCATTGGCTGCCTTCCATATGCCTCCAACACATACACAGCCTTCTGGCTTGATCCTGGCTTCTGGGTGGTGTCCGCCTGACTCCTGGACACAACCCGTCTCTTTTCCCAGCAGGAGCCCAGAACGTTAGCCAGCACCCTTCCCATAAGTGCTGTGCACAGGTGTGCAATTAGATGCTGGTCACTATTAAGTAATGGACCCAGGAATGGAGATTTCATCCTACCAATTCTCTTAGAAATCTCCCAATTCCAGGATCCCATGCCAAATCCAGAAATCCTGGGAAGAGCCAAAAAGTCAGCTCTTTCCCAGTACAAGAACTTGCCTCCTGGAACCGCTCAGCCCCACTGGCTGAGAGTCCTGGGTGTCTGCGTTGCCAGCATCTTCCATGGCATTGCGACGCATTGCCACTGTAGGTGTATGGTGTATACTTTTGTTACATTGGTGGTCATTGTGAACACTTTCGTTACATTGGCGGTCAGTGTGAATACCTTTGTTACATTGCCGGTCATTGTGAATACTTTTGTTACATTGGCGGTCAGTGTGAATACCTTTGTTACATTGGCCGTCAGTAAGAATGACTCTGTTACATTGGTGGTCAGGGTGAATACTTTAGTTACATTGGCGGTCAGTGTATATGCCTCCATTGCATTGGCGGTCAGTGTGAATACTTTCGTTACATTGGCGGTCAGTGCCAATACTTTCGTTACAGCTCTCCTTTTAGTTTTGCAGCGCTGCTTTATGGGATGTCTTTGCAGGGCCAGCGCTACCATAAGACTGTCTGAGGGTGCCGGGTGGGGGGCAGTAAAATGCACCTTCATCTGTGTAGGCAAAAAACCTTCCACCGGCCCTGAAGATGCCCATACACCTGATGATTATCGTACGATAATCGCGGGTGATCCCGCAATTGTACGATAATTGGCAGGTGTACGGGCATTTACTTTACGGTCGCACTACTAAAGATATACACTACTAAATACTAAAGATAGCCTGTCGGCATCTGCAGCCAGGATGGCGCCGACTCCCCCATGCACTCACACAGCACTGAGAGCCTCCCCCCCTCGTTTCCCACACTCAGAGGGAGACGACGCAGGCAGCAGGGCCAGCTCTCCTTCCCCTACCAGAGAGCGATCAGGACATAAAGAACTCCAACAGAAAATCGATCGCATGTTACAGAGGGCTTTACATAGCACTTCTAAGCAGATTACTGAAAAACTGACAAAGGAGATTTGTGACCTTGGTCACAGAATAGCCGAGCTTGAATCCAAGATGGACAATGCTGTTGTAACATTGAACACACATGATGGTGAGTTAGACATCATCAAAGATGAAAACCTACAACTTATGTCTAAACTGGAGAATCTGGAAAATCGGTCCTGCCGCTCGGATCTACGGATTCGCGTTTTTTCTGAATCAGTGACTGATCTCCAGGCTTTCACTATGGCCCTGCTCCAAGAATTAGTGCCTTCTATACCACATGGCAGGCTGGAGTTTTAACGTATCCACCGGGCCCTCAAAAGTCGTGCAAAAGACGGCCCACCAAGAGACATTATCATCAAATTCCTTTACTACCGCACCAAAGAATCGATTCTGCAGGAGTCTAGGAAAAAAAGGAACCTGTCATTCCAAGACCATGGCTACCAGGTGTTTGCAGATCTTGCTCCCTCTACCATCTCTAAAAGAAGGGAACTGAAACCTGCCCTCCACCACCTTCAACACCACGGTATAGCCTACCGATGGGGCTTTCCCTTTCGCCTCCTCTTTTGCTACAGGGGCCACCAGCACCAAGCCTCTACTCTAGCAGAGGCCCTGGGACTGCACAGGGATCTGGGCCTCCTTGCAGCTGACTTCCACACATGCCGCCCCCCTTCATCAGGCCAGCGAAGCCCGCGTGGTACAGCTCCATCTGAGAGCCCTAGAGCGCCCCTACCTCCACGCTCACCACAACAGCAATGGAAGCGCCACACCTCAGGAGTCTCAGACTCGGACTCTGATGGCTGACAGCACCAGCAGGATGGTTTCCCTCCGCTCTCTTTGCCCATATTTGGGACTCCAGGAGACCGCTTGTTGGTCTTCAATGATTGCCCCTAATGCTTTGGTTTAATAATGTGCACATTTTTGGGTCACACCAGTCCTGACCTAGGCTGTTACTTCTTGTTATATGCAGGTTTTTATAGTCACTCACTTGTGCCACAATGCCCTAGTTCTGTCAACATTCTTGAGAGGTATCTAGTTGCCAATCAACAGCACGGGCCCAGCTCTTTATTATTGTTCACATATGTTCCCTGTTGCAGCATAGCTAAACGTTGGCTCACTGATGTTCCATGTACCAAATGACTGTGTTGCTTTTCCAGCCTCATGAACACTACGTCCCAATGTTTATGGGCAGTAGCCCTTAATATGCCATAATCACCAATAGCCCCTACCGTAGGCGACCTATAGCTGTTGGTCACCACAAAATGCTCCTGGTGGCTAGGATCCATACACTACTATTTACTCAGGTTTAATTGCTCTAATGCTGGAATATTTTGTCTCCTACCTACCCTTCACCTGAGATGCCGGGAGGTGGTCACTGTGCCCCTCCTCTAACCCCTATTCTGGACCAACCACCGGTTGGGGCCCTACTGCTCAGGTCAGAACCTTGAATCCAAACTATTGTTTACTAACATGTTGTTGTTTTTCTCTCTTAGTTCTTGCTCCTATCTCCCTTCCTGCTCCCTCCCCCCCTCCACATGTGACACTCGAGGTCCACTAGCCTGTCGGTATGTATCTCTCACAGCACCCTTTCACCCAACCTGAACATGCCACCTGAAATTAAGATTCTATCACTAAATGTCAAAGGCTTCAATTCCCCCAACAAACGTCAGATTGCATTCCGTCAGTTTTCCTCATCCAAATTTGATATTCTCTGCCTACAAGAGTCACACTTTTCTCGCTCCACCCACCCAAAATATTTCCATTCCCAATATACACAGGTATTTATGGCTAATGACACGTCCACACATCGGGGGGTATTGATAGGATTTAAAAATTCTATGCAGTTCCAATGCACAAAAGAAGTACCAGACCCATCTGGCCGCTATCTAATCCTAATCGGCACACTGTGTGATCGCGAAGTAACCATAGCTACCTATTATGCCCCTAACTCCAGACAACTCCCCTTCTTCAAACACCTCCTCTCAACTATTAGCGCCCACCAACACGGTACACTCCTACTGTGTGGAGATTCTACTACAGTTATGCACCCTAGTCTTGACAGAACAACAATTAACGACCCATCCACTGATAACTTCAAAGCTTTTCGCAACCTTCTCTCCCAGCACTCGCTGGTAGATTGCTGGAGAGAGGTGAACCCCACCTCCAGGCAATACACTTTTTATTCCAACCCACACGATTCATTCTCCAGGATCGATCACTTTTTTGTATTGCACCCCACTCTCCCTACAGTGGTCAACTCAGCATTATCCCGTTCTTCTGGACTGACCATCATGGAGTGACCCTCTCGTTGTCCTCCCTCTGGTCTCAGCATACTGATCGCGCCTGGACCCTAAACGATTCCCTCCTCACAGACAGTAACACACTAATAACCATTGAAAATGCACTACAAGACTATATTTTGCATAACAAAACTCCAGAAGTCTCTCCCACCACGCTTTGGGAGGCACATAAACCAGTCCTGCGTGGCACGTGTATACGAATAGCTTCTACCATAAAAAAACAGAAAATGGCCCTCTTACTGGATCTTGAGGCTAAATTCAATGAGGCTTCTAGATCCTTTTGTATGCACCCAACACCCTACAACAAATCCCTAGCGGAAAAGGCCAGAAGGGATCTAAAGCCTTCGTAGAACCAAGCACAAATTTTACCTCCAAAGTAACAAACAATCCACTCTTCTTGCTAGACGGTTGCGGAAAATAGACCTGCACCGAAAACCCCTCCACCTTTCGGATAACTCCCTGTCCAATAACCCCCACAAAATTGTCCACGAATTCTCCAAACATTTATCTACGCTTTATAACTCTACCACTACGTTTGACCCCTCCGCAGCCTCAGCACGGTTTTCTGATTTGTCAATGCCAGAAATGCCAGAAGATATTCGCATAGCCCTAGATGCCCCCATAACTAACCAAGAAGTAATAGGCGCTATAAAACCCCTCAAACTGCATAAGAGACCTGGTCCCGACGGCTTTACCGCCACTTATTACAAAAAATACTCAGAAATATTAGCTCCTCTATTGACGGCAGCCTTTAACGATGTTTGCAATGGATCCAAATTTAGAACAGAATCCCTCGCAGCCAGTATTTGCATGATTCCAAAGCCAGACTCTGATGGAGCCCACTGGGCTAACTTTAGGCCAATATCTCTTCTAAATATCGATGTCAAATGATTGGCCAAAGTACTGGCAGCAAGGCTCAACTCAATCATTACCACCCTTATCCATAAGGATCAGGTTGGTTTCATCCCCTGGCGCCAAGCCGGTGATAATGTATGCAGAGCCTGTCTCCTAATTGAAAAAGCAAATTGTTGTGGCATTCCGTTTATGCTGTTATCTTTGGACATGCAAAAGGCGTTTGATTCCCTCTCATGGCAATATCTGCTCTTCATACTTAATAAATGGGGTTTTGGACCGAAATTCTGTTCCTGGAACACAGCCTTATATTCTAACCCTACGGCATCCGTAAAGTATGCTGGTCATAGATCCGCCCCCTTTCCCATCCTCAGAGGTTTCAGACAGGGTTGCCCTCTGTCGCCACTGTTATTTGGATTGGCTATAGAACTCTCTTGCTTCCGCGGTTGCCCTGCCAGTGGCACATATATGCATGTATGGTGGTCGTGTCCCGTTCTCCAGTCGTTCTGGTCGAAATTTTTTAAAATGATTTCAACTCTTATTGGCACTCCATAATACATAATAGTACATAACATGTAGTTGCACTATGGATCATTTAACCAATTCACGTTAGCAGGAGAGTATTGTAAATCTATTGCTGCAGTGCATTCTATATGTAGTACATATACAGTACATATAGAATGCACTGCAGCAATAGATTTACAATTATCCTCTGCTAACATGAATGGGTTAAATGATCCATAGTACAACTACATGTTATGTACTATTATGTGCTATGGATCATTTAACCTATTCATGTTAGCAGGGGAGAATTGTAAATCTATTGCTGCAGACTACAGTGTACTGGATGTGTGTACTGTATATGTATCATATTGATCATTATTTAACCAATTCATGTTAGCAGGGCAGAATTGTGAGCGCCTCCCACAAGCTGAGCACTGAGACGTTATGCAGCGATCCTGCCCAGCGCCGACTACGAGAGGCACCGGTGAGGCAACAGGGATCGGAGTGAAACTGTGAGTGAGGGAAGCTGGGACAGGGCTGGCTGTAAATCTATTGCTATAGTGTACTGGACGTGTGTAATGTATATGTAGTACATATATACAGCACACACCTCCACTACACTCCAGCAATAGATTTACAATTCTCCCCTGCTAACATGAATAGGTTAAATCATGATCCATAGTACATAACATGTAGTTGTTCTATGGATCATTTAAAGTCACCTGTCCGTTTAAAAAAAAAAAGTATCGGTAATTGGTATAGGCAAGTACATGAGGGGAAGTACTTGTACTTGGTCCTGAAAAAGTGGTATCGGGACATCCCTACAAAATTTGTGTCTCTTCATCTGGAAACTTTGAAGACAGTTGTATAAAGTTCTACCAAAAGCCACAATTTAAAAATAAAATATGTATTAGGGTTATAGATTAACTTTGTGCCAGACTACTAACAATGATGTCATAGTATAAAATATTGTGATGGTCATTATTATTGATAGTACACCACCTCTTTCAGCACTTGCTGGCTGTGGAAGTGGAAAGGGTAAGAGGATTTGGAATTTATACTGAGGACCTGAGATATGAAATGCTGAAAAAGGATGGAGAGTTATTGAGAACATAATGGACACCTAGAAAATGAAGGTTAATAGTTAATTCCCTGCACTGATACCTCTTCCCTGACATCTAGGAGTCACAGAATTACTAACTAGAAATGTACTTCTATGCTGAATGTTCTCCTGCTACCGGCCCTCAATTTAGACATATTTACTGTTAAGATAATTGACAGATGGGAGGTCACCGGGAGGCCCCATCAAAATTTTGCTATTGTACCCCATGATCAGGGCAGTCTTCAGAAATTTTGGGGCCCCTTACACGGCTTTAGGCCGGGCCCCCCTGCACCGCCGCCACGCTGAGTCTCTGTAAAGAGGAGCTTACCCTTTAATGCCCCCCGCCGGCGAGCCGCCACGCGGC